TTACTGTATTAGAGTTATTAAAATATTAAAAATTATATTATTAAAATATATTTACCTCTTCTAAAGATATTTTATGATGATATACTGAATATACATATTTATATACACTAGTCTAGCGAGTTTTAGTATATTTTTTTAATCCACCACTATATACATTTTTATTTATAATTAAAAAATGTAACTGGTATGATGAATTAAAAAAGTTAACAATTATAGAGCATTGATAAAAAATTTTTTTAGCAAATTGATGCTTTAAAATATTATTAGAAATTAGATTTATACAGTGTACAACATATCGCAAATTTAAAATATGTGAATATTGTTTAGAAATTAATTGTCATGCAACTGTACAATTTAAACCACCATTAGTTACTATAGCTCCAAATTTATGTACTCCAAGTTCATCAAATATTTGCTAAATACAATTTTGTAATGTTTTGTCTGTATAGCTTTGGTTAGATAAATCAACTAATTTCCAAAGATATTCTCGTACTAAAGATGCATAAATTACAAAGTTTCATAATGATTTTTCACATGGATCTGTCCATCCATCTAAACCTATTTTAAAAATAATAATATAAGTTATATAAATAACTATATAATAAATTTATAAATTAAATAATATATAAATTATACCAAGAGTTAAGTTGCTTGCTTTTTCTAAAGTATTTTTAATACTTTGATTAACTTTAATGATTTTAGCATTTAATAATTAACCTACAAGTAATTGTTTTGATGGTGGTTGATATCCAGGCTATAATTCTTACAATGTATTAATAAAATATGGATTGCTAATAATATAAAAAGGTATATTATATATAATAAATACTTTGATTAAAGCTGTATTAATATTATATTCACATTGTGGAGTTAGTTTAGTGCTTTTTAAAAACTCAGATAATGTTGCTTGATTACTTGTTAGTTTATGCTTTTTTTTATTTGGTTCAGCACCAGGTATATTTTCCTGAGATGCTGCTTGGCTATGACCTTGTTGATTAGCAATAATTTGAGTATAAAAATCTATAATATTTTTATTTTGAATAGAGCAATCTAGAGCTAAATACTCTTCTAAATTTACAGGTTTAGCACATGCTCCAAATGATCCACATTCTTTACATGTTTCTGAACAATAGTCTTTTACAGAAGGATCTTTATTAAAAAAATTCTAAACTTCTGCAAGCGGCTGCCTAGAAGTTTTTTTTAAAACAAATTCTTATAAATTCTTGGCTTGAGAATTTTCAGTCTGATAATTTTCAACTTGAGAATTTTTAGCTTGAGAATTTCTAGTTTGAAAATTTTCATCTTGAGAATTTTCATCTTAAAAGTTATACTCTTAAAGATTTTTATTAAAATAAGATTTACTTATTTTTTTTTAAAAAAAATATAATACTACAAAAGTTAAGGTATATATTTTTTAAATTGTTTAATCAAAAATCAATTCAAATTAATATTGACAATTTAAATACCCAATTTAAAATATAAATTGATATAAATCTTTGTATATGCCAAAAGCAAAGTATTATCTATCGCTAAATATAAACCAAATAATTGAATGACTTTAAGCTTGTAAATGCTTGATTATTAAACAATTATAAAAATTAATAATATTCATATTTGCCAATTATTATTGTAAATAAATGATATAAGCCTCTAATATTAAGCTCATCAAAGTAACAAAGCTATAGTTGTTAGATGAAACCTTTTTTGCTTGGTGATGAAAGATAAAATTTAAGGCTAAGCTCCAAAATGACAAAACTTCTAACAAAAGACAAACCTTAAATTCTGTAAAAATAACAAAACTCAAGTGCTACTATTAAAAAAAACCTTGGTGCTTCTGCTAAAAAAAAAAACTAAATTGCTAAAATCTTATAAAATAGTGAATCTCTACTAAAAAATTACTAAAAATTTGTTTTTAATAAAGTTATCAATAAAAATAATAAAATTATCTCTATAATTTTAGATATTTAACCTGTTAATAAATTATTAATAAGGCTTTTATTTATATTTAATACTGATGATATTTATTGACTTGTGCATATATTTAGGTTTTAAAAAGCTGATTATAATAATTATAAAAGGTTTTTAAAAGCCAATTACAGAAATTATAATACTCCATTAGTGAAAATAAGTAATAGTTATCAGTTATGTTATAGATGATAACTAATTATTTATTTACTAAAGACTCAACTTAGTACTTTGGTTGAGGCTTCTTGTTTAGAGCAAGACTTTGTTTTTGTTTTTATTGGGATAACATGATTTTAGCAAAATTAAGTTTCTATATGCTAAATAAAAAAAAATTACTAATTGCAAAATTATTATCAATTTATAGTATAAAGTATTTATTTTTTTTATTATTATGAGCATTTTTATATATATTTTTTATTTTTATCCCTAACTTTTGTTGATTTTTTTTTTTTATTCTCGGATTTTTATCAGTTTGATAAATAAATAATCATTGACATCAAAGTTCATAGCAAAAGGGTTTTAATTTTTTTTACTATTTGCAAGGTTATTTCTTGTAGCTGTATTGCTTGAAAAAACTATTGCAAAATATTTGTATCTGATATATATGGCCTTACTTATTAGCAAATTATTTGCAAATATTCAATTTCAATTTATATAATTTTCATGACTATAAAAAGACCAAATCTAGGTAAATATATGATTTTATTATACAATAAGGCTTAAAGAATAATTGACTTTATTTTCAAATCCTGTTTTATAAGCCTTATTTTATCTTAGGGGTGTGCCAAATATCACGTGATTTTTATCATGGATACATTGTCAGCATAGAGTATAGTAAACATATAAAAGATGTGATCATTTTTATTACCATATATTGCCGAAAATAAGCCACCTCCAAAAATAAGCCACCTCCTTTTTTTTTGGAGAAGAAACATAAGAAAATTTGTTATTCCGAAAATAAGCTATTCCTAATACTTTCTTAAAATCCAGAAGTAGTTTCTATATATAAAAGTCAAAATTCTATTAAGTAAATCGATAAAAGTCACTTAATA